TCCTGCTGACCAGGGGGAGTTGAGAAACCAGCTGTGTGACTCTGATTCGCCTTGTAAAATGTCTTTGCCTGTCTAATGAAACCATTGGTGAGTAATCAAAGCTGAAAGAATAACGGAACTCAGGCTTCTACTTTCACCATGCCTTTGCTTCCTTTCCTGAAGAGAAGTGCTGGGCAGTTGCACTGTTTCTCTTTGGTTTCCCTTTCTGGTATTGCATAACACTTCTGTTACACTGTGAACGAGAACACAAGAAAAGTTTATCTACAAAATATTATGCATTTATAAAATTATTTATTGAATCTTTTTTAACAAAACCTCCAATCTTGAAATTGGTAACATCTCTTTAGCATCCACAAATAATTATTACAGATGGTTTTTGCAGTGTGACTTATGCCTACTGGAAGCTAATTAGTACAATACATAATTTGATACCTTTCTACTTTTAAAGGCACTAATGTGAGCTGTAAAAATCTGTTTTTGCCAAAATAGGAATACATAATTAATTAAAAAATTAATGTGGTTAATATATTCAAATTATACTGTCATAGAGCTGACTAGTTATTCCAGTCCAGCATACCAGCACAAATACTGCAGCTATTTCTGTGTAGCTAAATGAGAAAGTTATGGTAGCTCCAGATCTCGAAGAACTATACACCAACTTTGGCAAGGGCTTGACCACCATTGGGCCTATGCTAATCTGCCTGTCTTGGTACATGAGTCACATACTACAGGAGGTGATTCATGTTAAGAATTACTTTGTGTGATATGCAAAGATTCTTTGTGGTCTATGCTAATTTTCTTTCGGTGAGGAAAAGTCTCCTCATGAAGTATTTTCTTGTGAGGATTAACATCGGGTGGAGTGTTTTGCATGGGTTTGAATATCAGTATATGCTGTTACATTTATTAAGATAATCTTATGTTGCGTTATATAGCAGGTTCCCAGTTCGTTAGTAGTGCCTTTCGCACCAGCAAACGTAACATTTTAAATACCCTGTTGTTTAATATGCAGCTCAGATAAATATGCTAATGACACAGTAGGAATTTGTACATATTTATGGTAAATTCTTAAAGATCTGTATATTAACAGTTGTGGGACAAATGTCTTTCAATATTTCTGAAGAGTGGAAATAGTATTTAAAGTTCTCAGTTGTCAATGACATTTGCATTAAGTGTGTTTCCAGAAAAACATATGGGAATTGTGGAATTGCTCAACTGCTTCAAAAACCCATAAAAGTGATGAGATCTTTTTCCATTGCTCTCAGCTGCTCTTTGATCCATTTAAAAACAGATTATTATGGTGTGTGGAGAGGTTAGGGGTGCACTTAGGCTGTTCTTTGCAGATATTTCAGTTACCAGCCTAAACTGCTCCCCCGTTGCAAGAACAATGACTGGCAAGTAAATGTTTATGCTAGCAGTTAATTTCTATATTTTTGTTTAAAAAAAAACTTTAAAAAAACCCCCAGCAGCAACAGCCTAGTGCTGATTCTAGTATTAGATAGGTAGTATCGTAAGTATATTGAAAGGAGCATATGAAAACTACCTATGTTAATGCAGTCACCAAGACTGTTTGAAATTCGTTGTGGGCTAAGTTTCTTCTTGGATAATTTTATTGCTGCTTTGAATTACAAAGATGGAGGAACAAACTTTGAGCCATTCTTTGGTCTGAACGTTTATATGCTGTACTATGTGGTTCTCTTTCTTGGGTGAAGAGACATATTAAAGGACTTGTTACAGTATGATATATATAACAAACTCTCTTGGGAATCAGGCACGCTACTATTCTACACCACTGGATCATGTTGCTCATCCAGTGATACTTCCACCTCAGATCTCATGTAACATTGTCAAACACACAGTGCAACTATGACAGGATTCCTGAAGTACATAATACAATTTTTTATAGATCTTTATAGAAACAAGTAAATAAAAATGTAAACAAACAGTCAGGTTTATCTCCATTTAATGAGATTTTGGATGTTGGAGCGAGTCCAAAGGAAGGGCCACAAAGCTGATCAGAGGGCTGGAGCACCTCTCCTATGAGGACAGGCTGACAGAGTTGG